TGGCTTTGTGCAGGAGCCCCGACGTGCCCCCCAACGCGTCCCTCACGCTGGAGGTGGAGCTGCTGGCGGCTCGGGACACCCCAGACCTGGAGCTGCTCACTGGCAGGGAGAAGATCCAGCTGGCCAACCGCAAGCGGGAGCGCGGCAACTTCTTCTACCAGCAGGCAGACTACGTGCTGGCCGTCAACTCGTACGACATCGCCCTCAGGATCCTGGGCTCCAGCTCCAAAGGTACCTGTCCCCACCCAGAGAGGCTCCCCGGGCTCATGGCCCTGCTGTGACCTGCCCTCGGCGCTGTGCAGTGGATTTCAGCCCGGACGAGGAGGCCGAGCTGCTGGACGTGAAGGTGAAGTGTCTCAACAACCTGGCGGCCTCGCAGCTCAAGCTGGACCACTTCAAGGCAGCTCTCAAGTCCTGTAACCTGGTGCTGGAGCACCAGCCGGGGAACATCAAGGCTCTCTTCAGGAAGGGGAAGGTGAGGAGGGGTCCCTTTCTCCATGGTGTGGTGAGGGAGGAAGGACAGACCTCACCCTGCTCCGTGCCCTGTCACCCTGCAGGTGCTGGCTCAGCAGGGAGAGTACAGAGAGGCCATTCCCATCCTGAAGGCAGCCCTGAAGCTGGAGCCTTCCAACAAGGTAGGCTGGGGGTGTGTGCTGCCCGTGCTCCCCCTGGGCTGGGGGTCTCCTGGCTGCTGCTCCTTGTCCCTGTCCCTGCAAACCTCCGTGTTCCCCTTGAGAGGCTGAGACTCCCTGGAGCTGTTCCCAGCTCCCATCTCCTGCTTGCTGCTCCTTCTCTCTTGTCCCTGTCCCTGCAAACCTCAGTGTTGATCCTGGGGTGTTGAGACTCCGTGGAGCTGTCCCCAACTCCATGAAGGGAGGCTGGGAATGGCCCCCAGAGCCTGGGGATTGATGGGAATGGCCCCCAGAGCCTGGGGCAGGATGGGAATAGCCCCCAGAGACTGGGAATCGCCCCCAGAGCCTGGGGAATTAGGGGAATAGCCCCCAGAGCCTGGGGATTGATGGGAATGGCCCCCAGAGCCTGGGGAATGAGGGGAATAGCCCCCAGAGCCTGGGGAATGAGGGGAATCACCCCCAGAGCGTGGGGAGTGAGGGGAATAGCCCCCAGAGCCTGAGGATTGATGGGAATAGCCCCCAGAGCCTGGGAATAGCCCCCAGAGCCTGGGGAAGGATGGGAATGGCCCCCAGAGCCTGGGGCAGGAAGGGAATAGCCCCCAGGGCCTGGGGCAGGATGGGAATAGCCCCCAGAGCATGGGAATGAGGGGAATAGCCCCCAGGGCCTGGGGCAGGATGGGAATCACCCCCAGAACCTGGGAATAGCCCCCAGAGCCTGGGGCAGGATGGGAATAGCCCCCAGAGCCTGGGGAAGGATGCCCCACGTGCAGTGGGGCTGGGCTGCTCTCCAGCCTTATCTCCACGCCGTGAGGTTCCCTGGTGACCTTTGGTCCTGCTGGTGACAGCAGTCCCTGCCAGCCCATCTCCCTGCCGTGGGGAGGGTCCGGGCTGGCCCAGGTGGCTCGGGCAGTTTGTGCTGTGGCCGGGGGAAGTGGGGCAGAGCTGAGTCCCCACAAACTGGCTGGGCAGCCCCAGAGTGAATCACCAGGGGCTGGGAGCAGCCAGCCCTCGGTCCAGCGCCCGGGCAGGGCGAGCGCTGGGTCAGGAATTTCCTGTCAGTTAATGATCAGCTGCAGGGCTGGAGCCTGGGGAGAAATCAAAAAGCAGTGCCAGGAAATGACCCCAGCAGGAGCGAGACTGGCAGGAGACGGGGAGGTGTTGCCTGCACAGGGGTATCCTGAGGGTCCTGGCTCTCCACATGGGCTGTAATCCTTGTCTGGATCTGCTGTGCCCATTTCTCACACGGGGGTTTCACCAGGATCTGTGCCATGATCCGGTCCCTGAAGGTCATGGCTGGGATGTGGCACAAGCAGGTGCTTGGTGGCCCCACAGCACCTTCGGGGCTGGTCTGGGCTCCCTTGGGAGGGTGAGCAGGACCCCAGACCCTCTGTTTGCCATCAAGGTCAGGTGCAGAGGGGGCAGCACAGGGAGCATTCCCCTGGCACGTCCCTGGGCAGGGCGGCTGCTCCCATCCCCAGCAGCTCCGATGGAGCTTTTAATTGGAGAGGGCTGGAAAATCCGAGTGCCCGGCAGTGACGTGTCCAGTGAAACCACAAGAACAGCAAATTACTGCCCTCCCCAGCTGCTGCCCGGCTCCAGGGGCGGCCTGCGTGACTCAGGGGCCACCGGTGCTGAAAACACCCAGCAATGCTGGGCCCCACCTGCCTCCCACCAGGCTGTCACCCACGTCCCTTCTGTGACCCCTCTGGCACCGGTGTGACAGCCCTGGTGAGCTCTGAGCAGCAGCTCTGTCCTCCAGACAGCCAGATTTTCGTGTTGGAGGCAGATTTGCCCAGCTGGCAGAGCTGTGTTGTGGGCATGTGTCCCCCAGCAGAGGGCACAGCGTGGCTGTGCCACCAGGGCCACCACAGCGTCCTTGTGCCACCCTGCCCTGCCCGGTGCTTCCTGCTGCTTTTGGGGAGCCTGTGGGCCCCACGCTGGGCTCAGAGCCCTTTCCTGCCCCGGCAGGGCAGGTGTGGGCACGCTGTGGGTCCTGCTGCAATCCCACTTGACACCAGGCTGAGTTTTAAGGCCGCTTTCCCAGACAGAAAGTGGGAGGGTTGGTGCACGTCTGTGCTCAAGGCAGACACTTTCCTGTCTCGATTAAAGGATAAAATCCCTTCCCTGGTGCCTGGCATCAGCCCTGGGCTCTGCTTGAGCAGCCAGAAAGGACAGAGGGGCATTGGCCCCACAGAGCGTCCCCATGGCGCTGGGATGTGGGGCAGGATGAGGCCTCGTCCCCCCCTCAGCTGTTCTGCACATCCCAGGGCTGCTGGGGCGTGCTGTGGGTGCCCTCCCTGGCAGGCAGGGCTGACCAGAGCTCGCTGTGCCCCCCAGACCATCCACGCCGAGCTCTCCAAGCTGGTGAAGAAGCACGCGGACCAGAGGAACGTGGAGACCGAGATGTACAGGAAGATGCTGGGGAACCCCAGCGCCGCCAGCACCCCCAGAAAGTGCAAAGACAAACTGCCCTGGGTAAGGAAGGC